AGGTGACATGCTGTCTGATAAGCAAGGATGAAACACCTCTCTCATCAAACTTCCATCAGCCTTCTTTGATTGGATTTGTATATTTCCAGGAACTAGTGCATTGGCCACCATGGAAATTTGGAACTGAATAGCACACTGAAATCATACAAGGATTTTAAAATTAGTTTATGTCAGTAGAAGTATCATAATAGCTTTGTACTTGATGGATCAAAGGCATGTCACTTTTTACATTTTATTTTTTAGGCTATATTCCACTATGAACAAGCTGCACAGTATTACAGAGGTGAAGAATCAACCAGGTGAAACCGCTATTCCTTCTTTTAATACTTTGTAAAAGTTAACTTACATGAGGAATTCTTAATTAAAACTAATTTATAACATAAGAAGAACCAAAGAGACTTCTTTTTCTCGTGACTCGGAGAAGGAATAGTGACCATGTTCAGTGTGCTGTGAGTGATCCATCATAAACTTAGGAACTGGGAATCATTTCTTTTAGGTCTTGTGTGGGTTTCTTCCAGAGCACTCTTACCATATTTATTTCATTAAACCCAGAAGTGTTTATTAAATTTTTGGTGGTTCGAATGTGGCATTTATTATTTATTTAAAATCCAAACAATACTATGGTAACTGATCATTTTAATTTAAGAAAATAGAAACATGTTTTAGTGTTTTTCTTAAAAGTCATTTTTATATTGTTTTCAATTTGACAATTTGCATCTAAATACTACTGCAATACATAAAGTGAATAAAGATCTTATGTCAGATATCTTTTCTCAACATCAGAACTGGTACATTAAAAACGATTTGTGTCTGGTTCACTCTAAATTTCCAACTGTGATCAAAGCAATGATTGCTGTGTGCTTCTTGAGTCTATTAATTGAATAAACACCTCATGATGATGTGCCATTTATTCAAGGGCAGTGTTTATTAATATTTCTGCTCTAAAATGCAGTGTTTATTCTTGGGTGGTATTTAATCAAATAAATATGGTATTCAGTGCATGTTTGAGAATAGCATTTTACCAATAAAAACAAACATTTTCTTGTGGATAAACGAGACTAAAGGGGAACTAACCAAGAACCTAAAGTTAATAAATGGACTCAAAAAATTACAATATCATTTTACAGTCTTTGCATTTTTTCTTTTTCTTCTCTTATCTCAGTTGTTACTTTCTATCATCTTCAGCTCAGCAAACAAGTGCTTACTGAAAGTTGCAACATTTTCAGCCCAGATGGAGGAATATGGAAAGGCTATTGAGATTTATGAACAGGTTTGCATTTTGACAAGTACCTGACTGTATACCAGCAATGTGCATCAAAAGTTTTCATTAGGCCTTATAAACCAAATTGTACAATTTGAAAATTAATTTACCAGATCTATACTCAAACTCTAAGAATTCGGTATAGTTTGTTTATCTGTAGAGTGTTGATGGTACAATTATAAATTTGATAATCAATACTTAATAATTCAAGATAGTTTAAATACTTTATTATTCAATGCTTCATGGAACCTTTTTTGTTTTTTGAGATTTGACATTTCAGGAATCAATCCCATCTCCTTTCCTGGCATTCTCAGAAACTCTATTTATATCCTAGCTAAATATACTCTCTAATAGGAGTAATTATTTTCAATCGATAAAGGCTTTCAAAGATATGTTCAGCAATGTATGAATCTTTGAAAAAATTGTTGTAAACTTGATTAGTTTTCAAACAAAATTTTGATGGTCTTATAGACTGAAACTATTTGACTTGCAAACTATATTCTAGATGAAAAATACATGAGAACCTTGTTGTCTGTCTTAAAGGCAATCTGATATGATCTTTCAGGTTGCTGCTGATGCCATTGAAAGTTCACTGCTGAAATATAGTGCCAAAGAGTACTTCTTTAAGGCAGCTCTGTGTCAAATGTGTATTGATGTTGTGGAGGCTCAGAGGGCAGTGGGAAAATACTGCAATATGTACCCAGCATTTGAGGACACAAGAGAATGTAAACTGTTGAAGGTAATTATTTATCAACTGATTTTCTGATACATCCTGAATCATTAAATCAAGCTAAATAACATTCTATGTATGTGAAGTTCATTGGTTTCATTATGGTACTTAAATGTTTTCTTTTAATGTTCAGAATCTCCTTGTTGCCCAAGAAGAGCAAAATGCAGAGTCCTTCACTGAAGCTGTGAGTTGCTCAGTTTATGTAAATTATGTAAACCAAATACCTGATACATAATCAGAAATTGATTCATTGAGCAGGAGTCTGTAAAGGAAGGGTATTTTTTGCATAGCATGCACTTAGGGTATTTTTGTGAAAAATTTGGCTCCCATCTTGAATTTTAAAGCAGGGTAAGTTTGGAGAAGGGAGTGTTTGGTAGTCTAGATAAACTGGAGTGGGGGGGGGGGGAGGGGGTGAGAAGGTCCTGTCCCTCCTCTCTGTGTCCTCTCTAACCCTAAATCAAACATGGCAATGCTGAGAATTATTACCAGCCAGTATCCATCAACTTCCCCAGTTATACACCTGTATTAATATCATGATTTTTGTCCCTTCCTCTCTCCTGGACAGGTCAAAGAATATGATAGTATATCAAGAATAGATCAGTGGCTGACTACAATGCTTTTACGAATCAAAAAAGGAATGAACGAGGAGCCAGATCTCACTTAAAGTAGCATTTCCTTAACTTATTTAGATTTCTTACACAAGGAAACTGTAACAAATAAGGATACATAACATCTGAAAATCACATGGAAGGGCACAATAATAATTGTTGCCATATGAGAGCAAGAATAACTTGAAAGAGCTCTATTTTCTCTATTCAAACTCTCCTCTCCTACATCATGAATATTATTATAAAATAACAGCGACACAGTTTGTTATGCTTCACATAAAATTATTACAAATACAGCCTGCATAGTTGATTTTGTATACAAACCCAGTTTACCAGACTGTTTAGTATTAATGTGCCTTTGTGTGGAAGGTCTTTTTGTTTTGTAGTTGACATAAATTGTGTTCAAAATGTAGTTCTCCCAAAAATAATTCTTGGACATAAAAATTACTCATGCTATCCTTACATCTACACTAATTGCAGCAATAACCCTACAAGTTGTTGTGAGTAAATTGCTGGTGGTCTTACTCTCCTTTTAGAAGGGAGGGGATGGTGGGGCTCAAAGAGTTGCAACCCTGGAGTAAATTGGTCCTTAAAATATTTCTCACCAATCCAAAAAATTATAAGTGCTCTTCCTTTTAAGCTTTGATGGTGCAAAATTGAAGTTCAGTAGAAAAAAGGAAACTTCAATATTCTCCTTGCCTTCAGCACCCCAACACTGAGGGAATTTTTTATTGTAATGTAAGTTAACATTGGAGGTGAAATGGGGGATGAAAGAGTTTCTCAAGGCAAAACCTGAAGCAGTAATAATAAACAGATCGAGCGTTAGCACTGCACATTGACCTACTCTATTGATCAACAGAAGAAAAGTGATCTCCAGATAATTATTACTAGGACAGGATTTGGAACGGGAGGGCGGGTGAAACAAAAGCGGAAAGGCACGCAACCAAAGCTGTTTGTGCGGCCAGGTACTTTCAAAATCAGTGGCGGATCTAGGGAAGGGGCCCCCTTCCCCCTTATTTTGGGCGGAAAGAAGAAAAGAATCGCCGAAGGGAGAAAAGCCGGCAGAGCAACCGACAAAAAAAGCCAACCCCCACTTCCCCCCCTTTTAGCTCAAGGTCTGGATCCGCCACTGAAAATGGTGGCATTCGTTGGCGACTTTCTTAGCTTTTTAAGACAATTTTTCATTAGCCAGGCTACTCCCTGGAATCTCTAAACGCGGTAAGTAAATAATTACCGAGGAAATTTACAAGCGTGCATGGTTATCGCGGCTAGCGCTGTTGGCAAGAGCTGTTTTCCCTTTTTCCTGGTCTCTAGATTAGAATCTGCATGTCAGTCTTGAGTTGTTGACAACAGTTTATTCCCCTGTTAGACTTCTAAAAGGCCCAGAAGCAGCACGTCTCTCCTGTTAGCGTGCCAGTTTGGTTTCGTCGAGGTGCGTTTTATAAACGTTACATGTAACCCCTCCCGGCTCCTTTTCGGCCGGTTTGGCACTTCCATCTTCCTTAGAGAGGTATTTCTTTTGAACTGCTAGGTCACTGGTCAGGGTAAGCCGGAACAACAATGACTATGGTCATATTCCCTTTTGATCTCCGCGAGTAAAACGATAAAAATGATTTTGGGAAAAAGAGAAATTCTACGTTAATGTGTGCGCCGGAAATAGCGCGATATAGAGATCCACTTCTGCTTAAAGGTTATTGCGGGCTCTTCCCTCTGAGGAAGAGCGAGGGATCCGTGGTGTGCCCGGCTTTAAATGAGTGGAAGGCTCTCTAAAAGTTACGAAGTGTTTTGCATTCTAAATTAAAGTACCTAGGGACTCTTGAGAGTTAATGGAAAGATCGAGGATGGATAATTAGCGGGCAAATGAATAACCATCTTTTCTTCTCGTGAGTATAGAGGCTTGCTTCGTCGTTGATTTTTGTTGAACCAGGATTCGGCGCCCCCGGCCAATACTTATATCATGATAGGTGAGTGAGATGGTTTTCCTTTAGTGAAGTAACTTTGGAGGACATTGTTCATGTAATATAAGAGTACAGTTCATACATAACAGTCAGCTGATTCCAGTGCATGATGTACAGTTCATTCACATACACCATTCTGCTTGGCTGATGTTATCAGAAGTCCAGATATTTAGCTTTGGTAGTTTGTGGTAGACAAGGATGTACAATAAAATTTGAAATTTGGATGATTGATACCGGTATGTGAATTCAACATCCAATTCGCCAGCATCAAGACATCACTCCAGTGTTATGCCTGTTTAATATGTCCCCTCCCATGGAGGTTTCAGTGGGGTTGGTGTTGGAGACTTAGGTTTCTCCACTGAAATAAGGGAAATTACAAGCAGGGAACAATTTAAGTGGCACAGTCTACCACCCTGTTTCAGAAAACAAACCCAACAACACCAGACATCTCTCAACATGTTTATTTTAAGCTCTCATATAATAGTTTTCAGGAACATTAGTAATGTCCGAAAGAGGCTTTAAAAATTCTCTTTTTCCCTAAACTACTCCCTATAAAGTAAAAGTCATCATAAAAGGGCCTTTAGTCTTGTTTCTACAATCTTTCTAACAAGACACCATTTACTTAAGTATTTCAGCAAAGGCTTCTATTAATGTTGCTGTAAAATGTTTGGAAGGGCTTTAACATTAAAATAGGTGTCCTTAGGCCACAACATGACTTAAATTAAATGAAATAAATTATATTTTCAAATACCTATGATAGAAAATAATAATTGCTGTAAGTTATAATAGTTGCAATTCACTACATAATACACTAGCATTTTTACTAAGCCAAACTGCAGAATGACATATATTTATACACCTAATTGCAAATATTTTAGAATTGTGATTGTCCTTCCCTTTTGGTTTTTTTGGCCTGCACCAAAACATGCATTGAATGCTGAGCAATTTTAGACTGTGGATACCTCTTAAATATGAGTACCTACAAAATTGACAGGTCCTTGGCGTCATAAATTTACCCAAGAAATACTAGCAAATAATAAAGGGAAAGTAAACTAAATTTTGACCAGTAATTTGGAGGGAGGTTTCCTAAAACATATGCACATATTATTATTTGGAATGGTCAAAGAAACATAGTAACTTTAAAAACAGTAATTATGATAATAATATTCATACCTATGGCAAGCCTTACCTTCTCATTCACACTCTTTTGCAACTATTAGATAAGTTGTTTGTAAATTTTGAAATAAACTCACATAAGGAATAGCTGTATCTCACTTATTTCCCATCATTAGCTTGCTATGGCCAGTTACTAATAGTCAAGAGGCATCCAAAGGCTCATTGTAAATTCAAAAGTTATTTAGGAAGGAAACATCTTACTTTATGGTACAAAAATTCCTGCAGCTATTTGGCATAAATATTATCAATTTCAAGAGTTCTTCCTAATAATGCTTTCCATCATCCCTTGAAAACAGTACATTACGATAAATTGTTGTCCATAGTAACAATCCAGAAACCAATTGAAAATTATAGGATTAATCAAATCTCCCCAAACTGAATTATCTTGCATCAGGCATGAAGATCTCTAGTGAACCAGCAGTAAGTGCAGTCCTGATAGATTTTCAGGCCTTATCTTCTCTGCATACTTAACATTTTAGTAGGAATCATAAGGCTGACTCTTTTAAAGACAAAATTCCTTACAGTGCTGAATGCTGCTGTAAAGAAGATGGAAGGAACTGATTATTTCATTTATTCTTATCATTTCCGACTGATCTGGTTCATTCTCTGTGTGTTACTTGGACACCTCAAGGGATACACTGTCTATCATTTTGTTTGTGGAAACTATTTGTTCTTTGGTCATTATAACATAAATACTATTTAGACCTCTGACTACTTCTGTGTAAATACAAAACATTGACAATTAAATCATTTAGGTTTTCTTGTAGAGTTACTCACTGTTATGAAATGGTGTTTTATGAATGATAACTTGAGAACTTTTCTGTGCTTGCATCTGCTAAGGTTATTTGGATTGTGTAGAAAAACAAACCAAAGACAGCAGCTGGATACTGTCATTATTAGGTCAGAACTATTGTGAGCATGTCAAAATTAATAAAGCTTTAAGCCTGCAAAGAAACAGTTGCTGTAATTTATCACCAACTTTGATGTATTGATTGACTATTCATTCTGCATTATGCTTGATAAGTATTGCAGCTATGCTACCATATAGGTTGACAAAATTTTATAAACAACCTAGGACCTGAGAATTATCATTATTAATTGAGAAGTTTCTTGAATCTGAAATGTGAAATCTCTTAAATTTTATTTCATGTTTGCTATTCATACTCTTTAGGAATGCTTGGGGCCTGCCCTATTTTACATTGAAAACATTTTTCTTCATTATAAAATACCATGCCTCTGAGCATAAAATACTGATACCTGATAACACCATAAATGCCAAACTATGTTGAATGTTGAATAATTATGATAATAATAATAATAATAACAATAATAGTAATAGTAATGATCATTATTATCATTATAATTTCAATTATTCATGACAAATATTATTTCAAGAAGTTGAAAAGGCTAAAATAATAAATAAAAATAAAGTATTTAGGTAGCTGATGTTATAAACTGAAAATTTTGTATAAATTAGTACAGCTGATAGTATCCTCACTGCACAGTCACTATCACATCACTGTTTGCCAGGCTGTGAAGGAAGATACATGTAACAGGCATACAATAAGACAAGGTAACATCTCAACATTTGTCTTCCTCATCCTTCACAATGGTAGAGACTGCTTGAATTGATTTTCATTAACATTTATTATCATGCAAAACCCGAATTCCAAAAAAGAGACAAGATGTGCAGAAAGAGAAAAATGTCTTAGATATAATTTCTGGGCCAAGTAAGAGTTTGACACAGAGACTGGAAAATTAAAATACCCTAGGCCAGATACGAAAAGTTGCATATTCGTGTTACAGCGTTCAAAAAGGGTGTACAGGAAATTGCTTTTTCAGTCAAAATCTGGGTGATTGTTATCATTTATCATGTTCCTTACCCACTATTCTTATAATAAATGGCGAGAAGAATGTTATTCTATTGAGGCTAACCAGGATATGTAATAATATGGTGTTCCTTATCTTGAGAGTTATCTCTAAAGTCTTAGGGCATTGAATATGACATACATTTAGGCGTGGTGCTCATTCTTTGGTTTGCATGATTGATATCATTGTTAGCCATTATGGCTTGTAATAATTCAGAAATATATGTAGCTATCTCTAAAATTGCATTTTGAAAATACAAACTGATACTTGTATCAAAGATATTTGAGAACCTTTAATTATTATAGGATCTTCCTTACTGCTGTTGTTAGTTGACACAAAGAAAGCATTTTTCCTTAATTTGGAAAAAGCTAAAAGGATACATTGATATGGCAATATGTTTGTAAAGAAGACATTACAATGTAAAATATCCAAAGGAAACAAAAGAAAAGTGATGTTGGAAGTTTATAGGATTTGGCACCCCCTAATTCTCCCCCAACTCTTTTACTTCTACGTAGCATCATAACAGCAATTGCTGTTACAGCGGTAACACAGAATATAACTACAGAGAAGCCAAGATTACCAGCAGGAACTATAAATTTGACACCTCTTGCCGCTTTGGCTATTGCTGCAATAGACCATGCCACCCCCAGGCCAAGGAAAACATTGACAGAATTACTACCAGTCACATTACCAATGGATGAATCAGCATACTCGTCACCAACTGCAGCAACTTTGCTGGCAAATGTATCTGTGGAAAATCAACATAACAGTCATTAAAAATTATTGCATCAAGATAAAATACAACTTATGGATGCAGGAGCTCCCTACTCTCCATTTCCCATCCATCATCTAGCTCTTCATTGCACACACTTTCACTCCTAGAAAGAGGCTCTCACTGTTTCACAATACGACACAATGACCCTTACAAGGAGTTTTAACAGAGACCAAGTTGTTAGTCACTAGGTCACCACATGTCACAAGTGTGTTATGAGTTAGATTCAGTGTAAGCACTGCTGCTAGTGTTTTTTTATGTTTTTACCTGGAAGACTTGTTCCAAGGGCAACAAAGGTAATGGCAACAACACTGTCTGCTAATCCAATGGTACAACCAAAGTGTGAGGCTACGTCACCGATGACCATTGTTAACACACCAATCATTACAATAGAAGCAACGAAACAAGCCCATCCACCCCAGATGTCTGTGGGAGGAACAATTGCAAACAACAGCTTCCAGAAGACGGTCAGATAGTGCATCATGTAGTCACCATATGTTGGTGTTGTTGGTTCATCACTGTCATCATCATCCCCACTCCCACTAACGGTCAGAGCATCAGTGAACTGTTCCTTCCATGAGGATGTACCAACAACAAGAGCTAGATTGGCTTTGACCAGCAATTTGTCCACTGTGTTTTTGAATTCTTTGCTTTCCAATATGGTGACCTCTGCCTTTGGTACATCACCTGAAATAAATACAGAAGTAAAAAGATTCATTTATAGCATTGACACAAAGTTGTGTGGTTTTTATCAAGCAACAAACTGAGCAACCATCTTAAGTAATGAAAGAACTGGGTTTATGATGTGATGTTAACTGATGTGTACAATAATTTAGCTGGCATATATAAAACTTTTTGTTCTCTTATAAACATGACACATTATCTCTTTTCTTTTCCTTATTTTTACATAATATCTTTAGTACCTAATCTTGGCTTTCCCAGTTCTTCAAGACGCTCCTTTTCTGGATCATATCCCACATCAGTACCAGCTCCACTGTCATCATCTTCATCTTTGACAATCTTTGGTTCCCCAAGGAGAACATAAAAGGTTTCTTTCTTTTCATATTCTTCGTCGTCTATAATATTGATCTCAATGTTTTTCCTGGTAAAATTAAGACATAAAACTATGATTTTAGGACACTAAGTGTTGATGAAGTGATCTCATAGCTTTGGCAACAGCTTGTGAGAGCAAAACTGATCAATGACAAGCAGATCAGAGCAGGGAGTAGTGAAGTACTAGCATAAGTCACTGGAAATGAGGAGGCTATACAAAATTGATTTGAGAGTTAAGGTTTTAACATCTCAGTCACACAAATATTAGCCACTATCATATAGATGGGTTTTTATCATTTTTATCACCTTTAATTACAAATCACCACAGAATACCAAATAGCAATAGAACTATTTTAGATAAAGGATAAAATCTGTACATTCCAAATTATGATATACCTGTCCAGTATTTTTTTTTAAACTGAGGGCTGATAAAGCTGATGTCTACTGCAGCCAGGAATTTCACTGTAATTAGACATTCATGTGAACACTGTCATTAAAAAATCCCTTTCCAAATTCTTATTAAATATTTTCTAAGGTGGAAAACTACTGAAGCCAAGATGATAAGGCCACCTAACCTTTCCAAATTTATTTTTCAACATTCTGCATTATTCAAAAAACCTCTTACTGCTGTTCTTTGCAAAATAATGCATTTGTGTGAATCATCAGTGGCAAAGAAGAAATGTAGTCTTTGAAATTAAAATGAGAATTAGACTTTGTCTTTATAACTTTATCCAAAATTATGCATGCTATCTTTGAAAATTTTTAAAAAATACTTTACTCAAAGGTTGTAAAAATAATCAACACCTGTTATGTATCACATCCCAAACTGACAAAGAAATGCCACCCTTAAGGTAAAGTCCAAAAAGATTCTTTTATAAATGTGATATTTCCAGCAATTCATTATGATTTTTTCACAGGTTGTAGCACCACCACAAACATAGGTTTATGTGGGAGTTGCAAAGCAACGTGAGAACTTAAGATCTCAAAAACTGAGAACATATCTACAAACCAAATGAAAGATATGAAGTAAAATCTATAACCAGAATACCTAATTGACTATTTTTTTTTTATTTTTCTTGTTAAATATTTATGTAACTTGGCATCCTCTGGGCTAATGTATTTAAGTCACTGATAAACAATTTTGGCAAAAGCAAACAACTTAAATGTAACTTATTCCAGAATTCATTAAATTGTAATAAATTAAATTCTGCTCAAAAATTAAAACAAATCAGCCAAGTTTTGATTTCTTTTCCAATGTTTGCAAACGTCTTTGTGATTTGTAGTAATAGCTGTATTTATTTTTATAGTATACCACACATGCATCCACATGGACACACACATACATACACATATATATATATATATATATAGACACCCATTTTCAAAACCATTACAATTTGAAACTATATTTAAAATATATGTACCTTTCTTTCCTCATCAAAAAGGTGATGCATAGTTCATCAATGCAGTTATTGTACTTTCTTTTTGAAAAATTGTCCCTATAATTTATTCTTTTGACACCTTTATAATGGAAAAAGAAAACGTATATATATTTCATATGTATTTTCAAATTGCAATGTTTTGGAAAAGAAATGTAGATGTATATAAATACATGTGTATACCTATGGAGGGTAAAATGGCTACCAAATGAACAGCTCTCAGCAAGAGGATTCACAGAAAGCAGATATCTTCTCCGAAATGTGCATTAAGTGTTGTTCAGAAACATAGATGATAAACACTTGACTGATCCAGCCTTTTCATGCACAACATTTCGGCCTTTGGCCTTCTTCGATTGTATCGTATGGTATTTTAAGTCAAAATTTAAAAATTAAAACAAGCCTTACTTACTCACTCCTACTCTTACTCTATGTGTATGTGTTGAAAAAGAAAATACTGCAATAATCAAATATTCCATATCCCTCATAATTAAGAACAAATTATTAAAAATGATGTTGAACAAGGATTGGTCTAGAAAGATAAAAACATCCTCATTGGCTTTTTAACATGGGTTGTATATTAGAGAATCATTATTCATTTGTCACCTTGAGCTTGCTATTCTTTAGCTGAAATTAGACCCAAGTTATAAAACCTGCTTTTTAAATCTTAATTGGCCATAAAATTACCATAGCATTTCTTGTACTGTTCTTTTGTTGGGGATCATATTTACGATATCTGAGGCTTTGTGCTCTAAGAAGAAGAGAAGGAAAAACCTATATGGGTGGTACAAAACAAACTCTGATCACTTATGTACATGTTTATCTGCTTATAGCCTTTTCACAGCTTTGATAAAAATTTCCATCCATTAGATCTCATTCCCTGGGATAGCCTCTGTTTATCAGGAGTATTAATATGCAAATTGCTTGTGATGTTGCAGGAAACAAGAGCAATTGTTTTCAATTTGTTGGGGCTGGTTCAAATATCTTACCGTCAGGCATGGAGAACGATAAGGTTTGGAGTTAAAAAAAAAAAAACAACAACAACAAAAACAAAAACAGCACTAATTAGAGTTTGCCAACTGGTGCGGCATTGTGACCAAAGTTGTGAAAATGTGTTTACTGCTATCGCAAAGTGTGTTTTTGTTTCGCTTACAAAGATCAGGGATTCCACAAACTTTTACCACACTACCATATGGTGACAGTTTTATTCGATGCTAATTATCCTTCAGAATAAGATATTAATTTCTTTAGTAGAAAACACTCCTCGTACAAAAATAGAGAAAAAAAATCCACAGAAGCTGATTTGAAAAATTTACAGGCATGGCACGGAAAGATTGATTCGGTGATATGTTGTTTATTAGTGGAACGATCAAAACGCTTTTTTTTCGAAATCCTGCCAAGGAAAAGGCGAAGAAAAATATCTTAGGGATCGTTAAATTGTTGTCGGACAAACCATAACATGGACGTGGTGTCGTCAAAGTTATCTCATTGTTTGCACAAATCAATTCAGTGGCATCTGTCAGCGATATATCAGATAGATGTAAAACGAAGATGGCTTCATCATCGGCATAAGTCAAATTTGATGAATTTACACGAATTAACAGTAGTCGTTTTAAGAAGATTTGACAAAATGAGGAAGAATGTTGCGATGTAAGGACTACATAAACGTAGTCGAGCGATTGATCCAAGACCGATTCGTAAAATGCTTCTGACCACTTCAATTGGTTTTTGTAGGCGATAATAACAAAATTTTTGTTTTTGGTCTAAAAAGAGAGGTGAAACCTCCAAAGTCCTTGCACGAAGCTGGTTGTAAGTAAATAATGTCAACCTCTCTTTGTAATAATTATTTTTTCGGCTTATTAAATATGTACAGAAGGACAAAAGCTGATCACATTTACTTGTGTATTAGGTTGTATTAAAGAGTATAAGATTGTAAAGCAGCTTACCAAGTCTCGTCGTTTGAAAACTCAAGCTCACCCACAGCATCTTCGTAATCATCGCCTCCTCCCTTAGCTGTTCCCTCCATAGTATGGTAAGGGACACGAACAGTGCCGCGCGCACCAGTGTGGCGAATAACTTTAATGTTAATGGTTCCATCTGCCTCTGTCACTTGATGCTTCTCTTCCTCAAATGTGAATATCCCTGGGTAGTCATCGTCCAGGATGGTAACTGTAGCTACTCCGTCTTTACCAACTTTTCCTGCAGGACCTCGATATTTGTTGCGAACCAAATCCCCATCGGCTCCAGCTACTCGAACATTTCCCAGATGGACGTAAAAATGCTCGTCTTCTTCAAAGATATCGTCGTCAACGATTACGACTGAGAATGTCTTGGAAGTTTCTCCAGGCCTGAAACAGATTGACCCCTCTGTCTTCTCATAGTCCTCACCGGCCTTTGCCGTGCCGTCCTCTGTCCTGAAGTCCACGAAAACCGTGTTATTCGGATCACCGCCAGTGCGTGAAATGTTCATAAACACACTTCCACAGTTTTCTTTAACAATGTAATGGACGGGGTCAAAATTAACCCTGACAACCTGTGGGTCTTCGTACTCGATATCTTGCATTTCCATCTTAGTGTCTGCCAAGGAACTGCTGGCCTTCTCAAGTTTTTCGTGCTTCATCTTCAACACATTTCCGCTGCCGACCATCTTACGTGTGGCTTCGATTCGATAGAACGCACGACTTTTTGGTTGAAGTTTCAAATTTTCTTGCTCAAGTAATCGCTCAACGGTTTCACGGTCGGCGTCGGGATGTTTCTGTCGTATGTCCTTTAGGGCTTGAATGGCCTTTTCGCGCCTGTCCTCCGTCAGGTCATGGAGAAGCTCGTCATCATCAAACTGTTGTCCGGCTTCGGCGGCGCCAGGTTGGTAGCGACCATCGGCTACGTTTCCGTCGATAAAACCATCCTTTACTTGAACTCCAACAACATCGTAATCGCCTGTTTGAATGACTGTCATACCTCCGCGCTTCTGTCTTCTTCTACCCTTTCTCAGTGCTCTGTAGAACAACAGCCTTCGATCTGCAATGTAGGCAGAGATGACCATAATCGGAAAGAAAAACAGAGTCAGGAGAGCTTCCCATATTTCGACTTCATCTTTAGACGACACTGCTAGTATGATGTACAACCAAACATAGGCAAGAACTGACGTGGAGGCTGTGATGGCAAACACTCGCAAATGTTTGATTCGGCGGCATTCTCCATCAGGAATAACATAAACACAAACTGCAATGATAATCAATAGGTTGAAAGCTGCAGAACCGACTATCGTCGACGGACCGAGCTCTCCAGCGTCAAAATTATTTCCACAAATTTCAATGGCAGATAGCAGAATTTCGGGAGCTGACGATCCCAGGGCCATGAGAGTTAAATTTGACACAGTCTCGTTCCATATTTTCACAGTAACAATTCGCTCCTTTCCAGTTTGCTTGTCTGTTACCCTGATTTCCTTCTCCTTCGATGTAATTATTTCAATAGCCGACATGAAGCGATCGGAGATTATTGAAACGCCCAAAAACAAAAACAGTAAGGCAAGCAAATACACAAACGCTCGCCCAACAATTACTCCTGTAGAAGGATTGCCTCCCCATACAGGCAAAACAATCCCCGGTTTACACTCTGTTCTTAAACCTGGGCATCCTTCAGTTGCGTTCACGGTCTGTTGTAGAAAAGCGCACCATGTAACAAAAATTACGCCCGAATGAAGCGCAAGCCTTTTAGCGTAGGACATGTTTAGTGGCACTCTACATCTGTGAATGATATAAGTGTGAATTTAGAGACAATAGTCAACTTCGATTCCTTCCGACCGTGGGCTGTTGACCGGACACCGCGAAATCGCCAGAGCCCAATGAATATTGTGAGCCGAGTTTTGTTCAAACAGCGATCTCTGGTGCGTAAAACGCATAGAGATGTCTTTTCACATTCAAATTATCGTCAGCAAGATGCCAGCTGCTTTCATTCTTACTGGTTGGTAAGAGAAAAGACAACCTACCAAGCAACTCACAGCGCTCACCAATTGAAAACAAGTTGTATTTGGAATGTATATATTGGTGGGCTGCGCATGCGCGTAGAAGCAGATGTGTGTGTTGATAATTTTATCAGTTTGAACACCGCTTGATTGGAAATATTTCGTGGAGTCACCATGTGTTTTGTTTTAAAATTGAGAACAAATGAATATTTTCTGCGTCTTTTGACGCAAGAGAAACAAGCGAGTAAATTTGCTCAAATGGATATATTTTTGCAACACTGAATATTTGAATATTGAATGCCAACAAGTGATAAACTTAAAAAAACAGTGCTTTTGAGAACACAGCTACTGATTTCAAACACTTTGCATACGAAATCACTTTTGCATTTAAAAAGGGAATTTAAAATGCAGTCTTTTGTTTTGAAAAGTGTTAAACGCATAGTTTACAAGAATCTCTCAACAGATACTGGCGAGTTGACGAGAAGAACATTCTAGATGTTGCAAACAATTCAATCTAAACCGACAGGTTGATGCAATCACTTGGCCTGTTTTGCTGTAGCATTATCATTATCAAATAACTCCAGACAGCTACTGACCGAACACTGAACAATTTGATTGCGATTAGAGCCCATTTACACCCAGTTATCTGTCACACTTCCTTTAGAATATATATAACGTTGGAGTTGACAACCACTGGATCTAGCCGGCAGGGCGAGTGTGGTGACCAAAGAACTTGCTTAGGGCATTGCCACCCGATGACCTGAATAAAGCGCTGAGCGACTCCATGAAAAGCAAAATTTCATTCTTGACTTACACAGCTCTTTATCAAAGTACAAACTACATTTCCAAAGACCAGTTTGATCCGTAGAAACGCCCTTCGATCATGAAAAACAAAAAAATTGATTGAAATTAGCCGACACCTTTTCAAGGGGAAAATTATTCCCTCGAGAATCGACTACCAAGCATACGATTTTGAGCAGAACAATAACTATTCTTTCGTTCATCTTGTTCGGTTTCACTGGCAGCGTCGATGTTTTAATACTCATTAATAAGTAGTTAGCCAGCAAGTACCGTAAATCCGCCCTACACACGGCTAGGACTATTGGAACCTCGGATTGTCCTGTAAATCATTTTCGAACATTCGCAACTAATAACTGTTTGCGCGCACCCATTCATATCATTTTCACAGTCACCTGCATGTGTGTTATTAAAAGAATTACTAAACAAGAACGTAACGCCCTGGAATAAGTAACATTTTATTGCACTATGAGCTTCTTTTTCCTTTTCTTCAATCGCATGGGGCGTGACCGATGTTGACACACCTTCCATATCTGCCATGGCGTTATCACAACACTGTTTTAACAACGCAGATGTATTGAAAACGAATCGGAAAACGCTAATTGCCACACAAATGGATAACTTGAATAAAGTATTTCAATGGATCTCCAATCTGTTCTTCCGCTGTTTAAAAAAATATAACAGTTAAGACAGTCTACAAACTCTCGCTCCATTATTTATGTCACACAATGTGTCTTAGGAATTGCTCGGGGTTGACTAACAATCGTCTGTATTTATACGATAGAGTTGACATTCGGAGTAGCAAACACTTTTTCAGTCTTGTTGTTTGGGAGGTGTTTTATTCTAATCAAAGCCTTGGCGGACCGCAAAAATAACAAATTTTATTGTCATCAATTTAAGAAGTGCTTATCGAACACCATGGTGTCGCGGATGTTGGAGACTGTGATAATTGAAAGGTTTCACTCCTGCTGCTTTCAGCTCAACGATGTGGTTTTGAGTGAAGGAACTAATTAAGCTGTGCCTGTGTTTCAAACTCTTGATGGATATCAAGCATTTTCATCGTGCCTTGTTTTCACATACGATTACAATACGAGGTCTGTTTTGAGCTGCAACAAGGTGGACGCGAGCAAACTTTCCCAAGAGGAAACACACATCGGTAGGAATATTAAAGGAGTCAACGAGTCGTGACATATCACCGCAAGGAAACACAACTCTTAATGAGATAATGAATGACGCAAAACTACACGAATGGCTCAGATCTGTCTATCAGTTCAACACAACTGATAGACTGCGAGAGGAGGCGGAAAGTTGGAACTTTTGATCAACGTCAGTGTCGAGCACTGATGCATTCTCAGGCTTGTAATGCTCTGAAATATCACTTAAATTGAAAACAGGGATTGTATTTAATCGAACGCAATGCTAGGTCAACAGGGGGACAAATTAATACACTATCCGAGCCACGAAAGCTGGGGTCAAACAGTTCACCACGTGCAACTCACGCAATCTGTATTCCTCCTCCATGGGAGCGTTCTATCTCTCATCAGCCACTCATTTTTGCGGTTAAATCCTTGAGCGAGTTCAAATCAAAGAAGGCTTGGATCCTGCAGCGAAGCCACAGTTCCAAGCATCAACCAGTTGTGTCGACAAACAGATATTTTAAGTGCATTGTTAGCCCGTTAAGTTTCAGCTGACCTGTTGGGAATTACTTTTCGAAAAGATTTTAATTATGTTTGTGTTAGAAAAAAAATCCTTATCTGATCGGTATGATTGTTTTTGTAGAACTTATTACATGTAAACTGTCTACCTGTTGGCGCAACTTGATTTATATAGAAACTCTCTTTCGTGATCAATGTACACGCTGTGAAATTCTAATCACAGCCAACCTTGCAAGCTTCTTTATCTTTCCAATTTCAATAAAACAAGTTGTCTCTCTTCATTCATCTTCGTACACTGAATTAAAAGAAAGTCAGAATTTATTCCAAGTGTGACCTGACTACCTGCCCGGGTAAGCTTTAAGTTTTTAAATATAAGTAATCTGTGCTGAATCAACAGTTCTCTACCTTTCTATCTCTTCAGTATCGTGACCCTCATTGTTGTTTCCTCAGAAGGCTTTTATTCACATTCGTCCATGGTTTCCTTTTGTAATAAGCCGGCCACCGGATTATTACTTGCTAGTTTTTCAGGATTATCATCGAAATAAATAGTGTCCTTTATTCGTGTGACGCTTGAGAGCTAGTTAGGATTAGGAGGTTGAGGCAGACGAACTGAACTGGTTGTATGAACCTCGGGTTGGTAGGTGAGAAGAACAACCAGGACCCATACATGAAGCAACACCTATACAACAATAAATAAGGACAGAAAAGTTTCTAAGGTACTGAAGCGTCAGGAGATATATATTTCAATATCAACAGAAAATAATACAAAAATGTATCACAAAGCCTCGTACATGAAAACAGAAATATAATTGTCGTTAGGTTGCACCCGCCAGAATCGACATGGAGATCAATCAACAAACAAAAGAAAGAACTAAAAGTGTAATTTGAACAGTTTTGGCGAACAAGCCGCATTTATCCAACCAAATACACCTGCTGCTCTGTCGATTCCGTGACACTGCCTCCTCAAGTACGTCAAAGAGTGGGAATAATAATTTAAAAATCCATTAACGTTAGAAATACTTAAATAGAAATGAGACCAATTTTCGGAAAAGGTTTCAGTAAAATCGAGAACGCTGATATACTCTTAACACTCTCCAACAAACTGTGTCAAGTTTGACAATCGTCTTCAGAGACCAATATTTCGCGAAATTAACCCTCTAGTTCTTTCTCTCAGCAAATGGGCGCAGTTATTTAACTGAAGGCAAGTAGAACGCGAAACTTTAACGTTTCCCATTCAAAAATATGCAAATAGTCCTTCTTAAATTCATTTTTAGAAACGAAGTTAAGTGCCAGTTGGCCTTTTTTCCCCGGAAATTGAAATGTGATGTAAGGAATAAATGATCACACTCCGAATTATCTATGAAAATAAATTATTTAGGATAAATAATGTTCGCAAAGAGAGCTTTTCCATCGGTTTGACCACCAAATAAAGGTAATTTTACCTTGACCACAATAACCTCACAAGAGTAAACAGAGATATACACTTGCACTTTAACTTGAGTGTTTAATTCAATATGGATAAGCATCACTGCGAGTAAATGGATATATCATCAAATCACTTCTAGACACCACTTTCATAACGAAGATGACGTACAGACAAGACCGCGCCATAAACGACGCACAAAGGATCTAGAGTTACTTGTGTGGCAAGGTCCAGAGGAGAACGGGCCGAGTAAAACAGATTATGCTATATACAAGAGACAGGAGTACTTTACCATGTAAATGATGACAAAGAGCCGTGCAATGGGATACCTTCTGAGGAACAGACCAAGTCTTATACTGAAAAAAAGGATAAAATGATGTGACAACGTGTAGGTTCAAGCAACATTTCAAAAAATAGAAACGAGTTTGTTTTCGCTTATCAGTGAGTGGTGCGGCAAAAATGACATTGTAATGGTGAAAAATAAAATAAAATAAAAAGGACGAAGTAAAAACCAAAAAACTTCGGGCAATTAATAAGCTTAAAAGAACCGACAAAAGGTGAAAAGATAAAGCTTCTCTGACACAAAAATCCTAACGATCCATTCTCAAGGGAATAACTAACTGTATTGGCCAAAGTCGGATATTGACGTAGAAGGAAATAGATTTCGTACAAGTTATCTGCAAGCATTACCTCAATGGATCTAACGTCTCTACTACACAGTTGGCATCGGGAATTTCAAGCTTAAAAGTTGGCAACCCAGGATTTAGCGGATCAACATTCTTAGCCCGAAAAAGATATAATCACTTATTTCAATTGTGGTTTGGGAGTACCGGCCATTTCAACCTTAATTTCTTGCCTCGCACAGATCTCATACATTTTAATAGAAATGATAATAATCCCATTTCTGGCCTGACTAAAAATCGACCTTTGATTTAACTTGCAGTAGCTACACCTAAAGTTTCACGGCTAGACGCATGCGTAACTTTCATTTCCGTCCATCCGTTTAAAATGTTTCAAGGCGGAGAAAAAAAATAGATGTCCAATACTTTGGACATTGAAATAATCTATGAGATCTGGTTCTCGGTCATTTTGATGGCTCAAAATTTAGTCCGCCAAACTAATATTTGAAAGCCGAAGGCCAGCGCCCACCAACTTTGGCGCTTCTTTGTTTTGCTCTTATACTTAGTACAAAACAACGCCCGATTACAGGGTATTATTTATTCACTCATTTCATTTGGCACGGGGAGTTAAGATGTGACACCTATTCTCTAAAAGTAGGACTTGCCTGAACTTGTCGATTTCATTAACAGCTCGTTTAACTTTTCGGGAGTCGTTAAGTTGTGAGGGCATAATGGACGATATTGATCTCACACGTGACACTAAAAATAGATAAGAACAGAAGATATCAGACAGACCGCGGTAACGTAGGAAACCGCCGCTCTCTTTCAAGAATGACCTAATTTAATATCAGCAGGCCACTTCGGCTTAAAGAAACACATGAAAATTAAAGGAGGCCGTCAGCGAATCGCAAGCCTCATCAAGACCCCGAAGGGGCGGCATAACCTTTTGATAACGTAATAACCTCTCAGTTCTTGACAATAGAAACATCACTCAAGAGAAATACAAAAAAAAAAGAAAAAAAAAGAAATTGTTATCAGGCACTTTTCATAACAAAACAAAAAGAGAAAAAGGATTCGATGACGAACCCAGCAGTATTTGTAATGTTTTTTCAACATTTCCTTTCCTGCGAGTGAGGCAGTTCATCACCACGCCCATGTATCTAGCAATCGGAACCAAAACCTCTCGCACAATAAAATAACCGCAAGTCTCTGCAGTCTACTGAGACTCTCCTGACGGGCACATAAACAAATTATTTATCGACTTATCTCTTGAAAAAGTCTGCCAGCCGTGATACGGAAACTTAGCATGGCTGTAAACTTACGCGTATTTTCATCGTTGTCATCAAAACCGTCATAAGTTGCTGATGAGCCGGCAATCATTTTAGACGTAGATGCCTGTACATCTCTGTATTGCTTCTATAGATTGAAAATAACAAGTGAATAAAAGAGAAAACGAGCCAGAAGGATATCTTAAGTTGTAATTTTATCAGCAATCTTGATAAATGACAAGTTTTTACATGGTAGATGAGGGCCGAACAACCGGCCCTGCAGGCGAATTGCAGAAAACGCGCTTTCCTCCTCTTCCCCTCCCCTCCCCCTACCTGACGAAAAATAATATCAGAAGGTGTAGTAGGTGAATTTTTTTGAAGGGGTGGGGGAGGAGAAAGTGATCTTGGATTAGGTTGTCAAGTCAATAAAACCACGGTAACATGCGTATTTTGTCATGTTAGTTACAGAAATAACGTTCTTATTCTACTGAGTACGAGATGACTAGAACACAGGATTAGTCACTATATTAAATAACATAATATAGGTTGTTTTGTTATTAAAAATTATCACTTTTCTCAGTGAAGAAACCGGTGAGAGGCACATCAGGAAAACCAACCCCCCTTGGCCACGCCCCTAAAAAAGGACAATTCACCTTAGGTTTTGTATAGTTTATGAGCAATATTTGTGACAGTTGTACACTTCTTGAGCAGTATTGAAAATAAAGCCTGAAAAAAAAATCCAGGCTTGTACGGGAGTTAAACTCCTGACATCTGCTATACCGGTGTACTGCTGTAACAACTGAGCCAACAAGCCGACTGGGAGCTGTTGTATAATCTATTCAGTGGGATTTAAGGTTTTCATACCTCCAGCCGCTCTAACTGTAAAACCAAGGAGTTCTTCTCTGTGCTCAGAGCCTCAATCAGTGTTTGTTTCTGAATGAGGTTTTCTGTCAGCGCTCGGACTCGGTTTCCCAGTTCTTCTTCACTCGTAGACGTAAGTGCCTTGGTTGCAAGCTGAAAAACATAAATTGATAATCGAATTTCGGATACAAAACGCTGCAGCATCGTCAGGAAACAGCGACCTTACCCAGAATCAAGCCTAGCACTGCCGGCATTAAATCTCCAACTTGTTTGGACAAAATAACGACAAAGAAAAATTACACATTCAAAGCTTGACAGCACAGGTATCAACTGACACTGACGCTCTAGAGAAAAGGTTTGTCTTAGTCTTGACTCGCTGTGATCAAAATTTGACTAACCTGATTTCTAAGTTTCTGAATTTCATTTTCCCTCTCCTGGAAGAAAACGCCAAATGAGATTGAACGGAGATTAATAAGAATTCAGAAGAGAACAAAAAAACAGTTATCGATGATGGAAAGATACCTGTAACTGGCTCATAAAGCTGCTTTTGATTCCTCGTATCTCATCTTGGGCCTGATGCAGGTCCTGACAGAAAACAAAGAAAAACATTCGAATTTTGAATGCACAGGATAAAGATACTTTTTTATAAATAAAGGGATACCAGCTGAACTGCTGAATGGCTAAAATTACAGCTATTCATCAACAAAGGTCACGCTGGAACAAAATACTGGAGGATTTGCTGTACGCAACACAATTTTCAACCTTCCCGAGTAGCATTACGACGGATAGGTGTTCACCAAACGTGTTTTGGTATCCGTCGGAAGGGGATTTATTCAGTGGATGGGGCTATCCACCTTTTGAGCAACAGGGATCATGTGGTCTCTTATCTAAAGAGATCGGACAGAAATTAGTGGGTGGGTTCTTTAAATAGGTTTATACTGGCTAGGAATAATTCTCTTTCACGTACTTGGAGATGCTGTTGAATTTGTTGTTCACAGGCGTCTTTTTTTCTTTTTTCGTCATCCAGAGCACTCTCTAACTCTTCCATTTTCTCTCGAGCAAGATCTGCCTCGGATTGTTGCTGCTGTTCCAAGTCCTATGAAGCAATATTTTTCAAACGATCAGATACTTAGTGCACAGTCTTATTCAACGTTTCAACTCATTCAAGTATGGTATTTGAACAGACTACACTTGTCTACAAGTAGTGCTGATTGAGAGAGCCGTGCGCAGTGTGACTCGCACGAGACGGTGGGATATTAACTGTGAAGGTAGGTTGAAGACTGAAGCGAGAAGATGGCTAACTCTTCGGACTACTGAGCGTGCGCGAAGCGCCTATGGAGACGTTTTACGTCATTAGTGTGCACAAGGACACCTAGTCTTTGGTCAGGGTTCTTTGGACTTTTTTCCGCGTTCGCGACATCCTTTAATAAGTTTCTTTGCAAAAATTGTCCATTGCGAAACGTGAAAACTACAAAACCAACTGTTGAGGTGTCTGAGACGACTTAAGAGAATTTAACCAGCGCAAAGCTGTGATTGCGGAAAGCAGATTAAAAAAAGGAAAAACACTATTCACCTGTAAATCAGCCTTGAGTTGCTCCATTTTGTACTTGACCTGATTGACTTCATCTTTAAACATGTCCCTCTCATGACAGACCTCTTCATATTCTGAACTAGTAACACCGCTGGTAACTTCACCTTTGCTTCCATCACGGAGACTTGCTATCACCTTGTCTTTAGCCTGACGGTAGAACGATTTTTCTTACTAACACTGTAAAGGGTTCACAACCCATAATTTGTTTTATTTCCATAAGAATTTAAAACAATTGGATAATAACAAAATGATCCAGTCACCTGAAGAATTCTGGCTGCTTTATCTTTATAGTCCTTCAGTTCTTGCTTCGCAGTTTCTAGATTTCCTTTTGCTGTTTTGAGTGCTGTAGCATTCTCATTGTTCTTATCTATTCAATGGCTAAGGAGAAAAAGCTCCAACATGTATTCAAATCATAACTAGTTCGGAAATAAAGAATTGTAAGGAACTATTCTATGCACTACAAGAAGTCATTTCAATCCCTACGTACAAGTTATTTTTAGTTGAATCGTCGTTTTAAGTTAGGACAGATAAAAATATATTTGCTAGAGTCAACTTGAACAAAAGAAATTTTGTTCATTCAGGAAAAGGGGCATAAAAACATTCGTGCTCAGTATCTTAACTGTTACGAGTGTGAAAAAAAAAAACCTTAGTACCCCTCCCCTCCCCTGAGAAGACTCGAACCCCAACTAGTTCTAATTTTGCTCATCTTCAGACAGTTGATAAGCCAGGCCATATAATTAGTCCAATTTTGTTTTAAATTATTAAGTAAATTAAATGGAACTGATGGATACTCTTCTCTTCATTGACTCTCTTCTGCAAAGTTTTGAGTGACTCGGCCAAGGCTGCTTGTCCCTCTTCTAGCTTTGTTTGCCTGTCCATGGACTCTTTCTTAAAAAAAAAATGAAAGTAAAGGGAACCTAAGTTTATAAGCCTTTAAAGTTATTATCAGGTTTCCATGCCATTCATTTATCTACTATATTATCAATTAATGTAGCTTAACTTCTTCAGATAATAACAGTAAATTATATGACATAACAATAAATTTAAAGAAATATCAAGATCACTAACAAATTTGACTGCAACACAAAGATCCTGACCATTTTTTTACTATTAAAAACTTTCACATAATACTGGCAAGCCCTAAAATAAGCAGGCATTATAGTCTTATAGAAGTATTTATCATTACATATACCTCGAGTTTCTTTTGAGATTCCTGTTCAGCTTTAAGTTTTCTCTCAGTTTCTTCCAGTTTAGCTTTCAGAGTGTCCAATGCATGACTGTGAACACCAGTTGATGCTGAGTGATCCTGAAGTAGCCTGAAGGAGAAGACAAGGGTTTTCTTACATATCTAAGTGCTAGTGCATTAGTATGGAAGTAACCCAGTTAAGAAAATTAAAACTACAACACTAAGAAGTAAACTCCTTTCTGTCTCACATGAAGGCAGGCAGGTGCTTACACCCTGGTTCCATCTTTTAATGAGAACTCTTCAAGACAAGTCTTCAAAATCATCCTGAGGCTTCATAAGCTAAAACTTGTGTTGCACCACAGATGTTGACACAATGAGGTCTTCCATGACAGACCCCAGGTTTACCAGTTCAGATAACAATTTTATTAGACCAGTAATATATCAGTAATGGCTTCAGAAGAAAAACAATGCCCAAAAATATAGAGCAGAGAAGAACTCCTAAGAATGAAATTTAGCCTGAAATTCAAGCGGTGAATTGGACAAATACTGGCACTTAACAAATGAAATCAGTATTACTGAGTGAAGTTCATCTGCAGGTGGACCAACCACAAACACAAAAATTCAACCAAGTTAAACTCTGTTCAACTTGCCAGGTTAACATCTACATGACAAAAGTGAAAGTGAAGGGTGTGGTGTCAAACTTGATTGAACTTTGGGGATAATGAAGCATTCCAATTAATAGTTTAGTTTCTGATTTCGAAAAGCAGTGGATAACATTACTATTATAACTGTCAAATGTACTGTATACTAACAGACCTCTCTCTCTCTAACTGGTACTGTTCAATTTGCTGCTGTTTGGTCTTCAGTTCCTGGTCTGACTCCTGTATCCTGACCCTGAGCACAGCCAGCTGTGAGTCCTTAGCATTAAGTGCCTCTGTATAATCATCCTCCTTCCCTCTCAACTGCCTGGAAATTTCCTCAGAAGCTGCCAACTGTTGATGACTTCTTTGAAGCTGTCTCTCTGTTTCTTTTACTCCTGTGATACAGTTATCAAGAAACTTTTCAGATAGGAACAATTTATATTCAAAAAAAAAAAAGCTAGCTTTTTCTTATTTCCATTCTAAGTATAAAATACAGACTTACTTACACTGTAAAAGTTACCCAGCAGTCAGAATTCCTTATAAAGTACTTTAGAATTAAGATAATGTGGATAAATGAGCTGTGAACAGTCTTTCATGAGCAAAATTCAATGATTCAGCAACACACATCAAAGCAACTGTATGTAATTTGAGGGAAGAAATGGCAGGCAAAAAAAGCTAGGAAAAATTTACACTTCAACAAAGTGCATACCAATGACTCTCAATACTAGTTGGGTGCTATTCGCGACCAAGCACTGGCCACCAATAACACAACTATGAAGCCACAGGTAAGGAACCAGGAAAATTTAGTAGGTTTACTGGGTTTCATTTGAGTTTTCTTTTTTCAGTGTCAATACTTACTCCTTTCAGCTTCCTTAGCCCTTTGCACCACAGAAACCATTTCTTCATTCAGTGATGATACTTCCTTCTTTAGAAGTGTGTTTTCAAATTCAAGGTTGGACACACGATCATCAGCAGGAGGTTGGCTGCGGTGATCAGCTTCATGCTGAGGCATGTCTTGTGCCTGAGGTTCTACTAGTCTCAGTCCATCAGATATGTTTGTGTCTTTTTCTCCTGTATTTGAATTCTTTCCAATAGCATCTAGTAACAAACACAATAACAATCCCTGATCCATGAGCTCAAGGTTCACTTCCAGATTGATTTTTAAAAGTTTCTCTTTTTTATAACAATAAAAGTTTAACTATAAACAGAGGTTTTCATCTGTTCAAAGGAGGTAAGGTATGCTTAGACCCTCACAATAATTTGGTCATTGGTAAACCAAATACAATATTAATTCCTAGCTTTTTTTAAACTCTTAATTGTAGTTTTTTATAAAACACTGCACTTTATTGTATCCCTGAGCAATAGAACTACTACCACAAGAGTAAAGAAGCTTATTTAAAAGCAGACTGATCTCAATTAGTGCTTCAACTAAGACAACAAGAAAAAGGTTGCTTGAAAGGTGAATAATGCTGTCAACTGGATCACATGTTTTGTTTTGTTGACACTTGTCTAATGAACAGGAATTTATGTACACAATAGAGTCTTTCAGCTTTTGAACAAAAAAGCTTTGTCTGTTGTCCAATGCACCAATTGCCTTTCATAGCAAGGTCTAACCCACCATGTAGGGCAACAAATACTACTTAACTTTTTAACATGCTCACCATCATTAATTCTTCCATCTGGAGCATCTTGCTGAACCAGCAATGAAGTATCATTAGCTTTAACAACTTCATCAGATGATGTTTCAGTCACCAATTTTGGTTTTATAGGTTTCCTTTCCTTAGAAGTGGGAACATTGCTATTGAGGAACTCAAATAATTTATCATCATTTTTGTTTTCTGTTCTTGTTACCCTTGGGGGTGTCCTAGAACCAGAAGAAGGTAGCCGAGACTTGATAGGTACTGTAGGTCCACCTAGAAAACAAAGCAAAGCCTTCAACACATCAATTCAAGTGAAATTATTCTGGACAATATTGAAGCCATGACAGAGAAGACAATGTGCCTTGTGGCTCACAATAATGTACTATGTGCTTACAAAAAGCTAGTAGACACTGGTCCACATGTTCTTTATTATCATTTACACCAAATATTGTTTGTCAAAGTCATCCAAGAGGTTGTGAAATGACAAAAAGTGCTCAACAGCAAGATATCCTGCTGTCTTTAAATGTACAACTAAAAGGAACTGTAAATTTACATGAAGCTAAATTAACCACAGACAATAGAGCTTCCAAAGAGAATATAGATGTAAGCAGTTTATTAGTTCTCACCTAATACACTGCTCTCACTGGCTGCCTTTGCAAAATCAACTCCTTGGTTGACAACCGGTGCAGGAATTGGTCTCTGTGTTGAAACAGAACTTGCAACTGGTTTTGTTGGAAAAACATTTTTACTGAATACACCCCCGTCCTGGTTAATCTGGTCCTTTGTGAGTGCTGAAGCTGCAGCAGTATCAACCTTTTCCAGCAGAAACTCTGCCTTGCCAGCAAGATCAGTAAACCATGACATACTGACTTATATCTAGCATATTGATAAAAATAGACCAAAAAAAGGGCATCAAGCAACCAGTTATTGAGAAGTATTAAGTATTACTACTCCTCCTCCCAGCTTTACAATAAAAAAAAACCTGTCTGTACTTTAGAAATTAGCAAATTCACAAATACATTTATTTCAGCTAGGAACATTCCATCAAAGTCTGGTGGTAAGGCTTGAAAGGCATTTCAATGACAAATGTGTATTATTGTCAATAAATGTAAAGTATCAATTATTCCTGATGTAAATTGTGATGTTGTCTTTCTTCATCACTGGTGTTTAAAACTAGTAATTTTAATGGTATCATACGTTTCCTGAAAGTAAACCAAGCTAACAATTCTTTAATCTGCTTCAAGTTATGGTTATAACTTTCCAATTAGGAAGGCATCGAAGCCGCACAAGCAAGAGAAACTCAGTGGAGAACTCCCTTGATTAGTTTAGGAATCGTAGAATATAACTAAAATTACAAAATTTTTCGTGTCTTTCAGCCACGGCTTAGATTTGAAAGTTGTTGAATATTAATTCCTCTGCTGGTCTGAGGTTACTCAATACGTAAGCTTACTTCACTTCGAAGAGTACGTAAAAAATTCGTCTTCCTTTGGCGTAATTAGTGCATCAGCATTCCTTAAACTTTCCCAATTTAATCAAACCAACCGTAATACTTCGTGGTAGGATATCAGGCACGCCACTTGGTTTCAGTTGCAAATTGCAGGGAAGGTAAGTTAAGTTTCAGTATTGCTTGGCCGCCGTGTTTACATCCTCGTACGTGTCACAGAGGAAGTGCGCACTCCCTTGCAGCGCAGCCGCTGATCAGAAGAGCTTCGAGTGAGCCACAGAGAAATTGCGTGACACTCATGTTGTTGTGCTTGAAAGAGTGAAGGCGAAGAGGACAGTGACTTAATAGGGCGAATGACGGGAGGAATTTACGAATAAATTTCACCCAAATAGTGAGGAAGGTGTAAGGCCGTATAGTAGGGGAACTAGGGTTAAAATGTTACTTGATGACATATTATTTGAAGAAAAATCATACAGTACAATTTGAACTCAGTACAATTCCCAGAGGGAACAAATTCTTTTTCTCTCCTCAGTTTACTACTTCTTTCTTTGATCCATTTCAGTTATAATGTATGTATTGTCACCTTTCTACTGAGATCTGGTACCTCGTTATAAAAAAGAATAGCTATCATAGTTGTGATTATTTGTGAGAGGAAGATAAAGTTGACTTAAATCAACTTAAATTGATTTTGATAATCACTTACTGCCTATGTATCCTTACACATGAGAGTTTGACTAAGTCCCAATCATTTTCATATGATGTGCAGCACTGAAGCACAAAGTGTGATGCGTATAGACAAAGCAGAAAGAAAAGCTCTCCCATCATTCCTTTCTGCCCAACTGCACTCTTATGCCATGTGCATTATGGAGATGACTGAGGAGTACTCCAATGTATCATGTTGTCCTGAAAAAATTTACATTGACCCCAAAACAAAAGAATTGGGTTTCTATTTGACACTAAGTATAGTCAGACCCATCAAAACTTTCAATTTATGCAAGTCACTGGTGAAGTTGTGAAAGTGCCAGAATTTTTGTCAACAACATATGATGATAAACTCCCCATGTATACAATTTTTTGTTAGAGACAAAGTCATCTCCAGCAAAGACCATATTTTGGAAATTTTACAGAATCAGTTTAATTTGATTTTTTGAATATCAAACTGCATTATTTGCTTCAAAAGTATTTGCTCTCAAGGAAACTGTTGTGGAGCAACTGGGGTAAGGAAAGCACTCATGCTTTAATCCAAGCGAAGTTAGGAAGGTAAATTATCTAACAAGGGCTAAAGCTTTAAAAATCAGCTGTACAAATTTAACAAGCCACCACAGTTTGGTTATCCATGTCAAATTCATCCTGAAAAGAACTCATGAGGATTGCAAATCTCTTTTATTTAAAATTTCACAAACTCTTTGGAACCCGAATTGCATATTTCCTCGAGTGTGATAAACAAAAGCAGTTTTACTCTCCCTTGAGTAAAAAAAAATAATTCCACATTTTGAAAGCTCCCAGAAGTAAGTTGCACTTTATCCAGCAGTTTATTATTGTCCCCATGATAAGCGACCACGCTTGTGCTGTCCTCCTGAGAAAGGTAACGCTCATGATCTGCCTTTGATCAGCATTTCCAACGGACCTCCATTTGTGTATGTGATACGCAGATTGTCCTTACCGCCAAAGTATCACCATCACGGAATAGATAGAATATTTTGAATGTTTCATATCGAAACATCCATCACTCAAGTTAACTCAATTTATTAATGCTTGGGTAAAGTCCAAGATCACATTCACCAATAGCTAAATTTGAAGCTAGACAGGGTCGCCAGGCGGTAGACCACGTCTTCTTCTTTCTGCCTTCCTTTTGTTCCAAGCTCTTTTACACTCTTTATATGCTAGAAAATAATTTGCACATCTTGCCTTATCGTAATTATTCTCTTCCAAACATTTTAAGGAAGCCACCGACTCTGCAGCACACGGATTCGTTCCCTTATCTGTCCACCGCTTTAATCCGTCCGCCATTTTGATAGAATATCGAGCCCATTCCTTCTCGCTTTTACGAAGTGGAGGGGAGGCTGAAATAGCTCAAGTGGCCTCCCGGCGCTCCCTCAGCTCTCCAGTGGGGTGGAAACACTGGACATGTCAGGTTTATGAAATTAACGAAATTTGCCCACTCGTTCACACAGCAAATCGGCTCGACCCTCAAGAGCGACCTTCCGTTCTCAACTTCTTAAGGTCAAACTCTCTCTTAAAATCGTGGTTCAAACTTTTTGCAAAGACCACCAGGGGTTAGGGGTGCTGCCCTTAAAAGTCGAATGCTGCAAGATGTATTAGATACAAATGAGGATACTACCCTGGTTGGTGAGCTGCAATTAAAGAAATTGCTTCCCGAGTCTAATTTTGGGTCCGCCACAGAGCAAGAAGCTAAGTTAAAAACAAAGGAAGATGTAATTCTGTCTGTTGTCTTATCTTAGAATTTATGTCATCTTTGGCCCTCCGCATCGAACGAGGTAGGTGTATTTGAAGCTGAACCAGCCTGGAATAGTTTGGAGTTTAATAGCATTAAAGGGGAACACGCACGTAATCAGTAACCAGGGATCCATATTGGCGATGTGGCATTAATATATCGCTTTCTTCATACTAATACTCTCATGAACTTCACAGCACTATGTGGGGGACTTCAGCCTGACTGCTTTGAACATTTTACAATTTGTTTGAAAAGAAGTTTTGCAGGTGCTTGCCAGGTTTTGGAAACAATTCCCCACCCAGGCACCAAATCTCTCTTAAATAACTAGGATTGATGTCTGCTGTTCCAAAATAATTTTAATTGACAGTACCAAGAAAATCTTCATTTAAGCTCTTAAACTAGAGCGTTGGTAAGCAAATCAAGTCCTCTTATTTTTTTGAAGGGCTCAGGAACTTTTCGACAAAATCTTCGTGGTTCATGGTATTATGCGGCTTCGGCAAAAGTGCTTTTCTTGACAGACGAACTTTTCCAGAGAAAGGGTCTTTTCCAAGATACATTACATCAACGATTTGTCCTAGTGTAAATTCATTCGTTGTTTGATGACTCTGAAGAAAAAAAAGAAAAGAAAAGAAAAGAAAAAAAGCTCAGACAACAGCAGAGGAGGTTTTAAGTTAATAAGAAATATCCGTCGGTAAAAAAATCAGCCTATAATGCTTGCGGAAAAAAATGGGAAAATAAAACCTGAGAAGCAAGTGCTTAGTTCCGTCAGAGGGTTTCATTTTACTATTTCCAAACAACTTTCCTAGACTATGAAAACCTTTCTTTCAATGAAGCGGTGAACTTTGAAGAACATATATCAATGATCACTCGATACAAGATTGTGCAAAATAACTGAAATACCACACATGCTGGACTGGACAAACCCAAGGCTTTTATTGTATCACGATAAGCCTGAGTAACTGGTGGTTTTGAGTGTGCTGTGAGCGTTAGGCGACGGACCTGTGAAAACGGGCGGCTAAAATTCTCCGCTCATAGCTTTAAAGGGCACAAAGGGCCGCCAGCCATAAAGGCTATGTACAGCAGGCCCATGGCTTTACCATGAAAGCAGTAGACCGCACTTCCTATCTGAATGAAAATATGTGCCACATGTAAGTCCAGTTTATGACCACTCGATGTGATATTGAGACTATCTTGTCACAGTTACTTCGTTACGTCGACTTACTTTATGGTGAGATATTTCTGAAGTGTGTAAAAGTACACTGGGTGTGTCCGGTAAAAGTTCTACCATAATCCCGTACTCCCTGGAATGACAAAATAATCATAATAATAATACTATATTTAAATAGCGCTTTTTCTGTCGCTATCCAATAGCACTTTAAACTTACTAATAACATAACTAAGCTGTCAAAATCACAATAAGAACTGAGAATAAAAAACCTCATGAGTAAAAACTTACTAACTACCTACCTAAATAACTAATTAACTAACTAACCAATAATGAATCATCATGTAAGAGGCTTTCCTGAAAAGATGTATTTTAAGATTGCGCTTGAATTGCTACAAATTGTCGCTTAAACGGATTTCCAGCGACGGTGCGTTCCAGAGTTTAGCCGCGGTTACAGAAAATGATCTTGAACCATATCTGGCAAGTTTGTAACCAACGTCAACCAAACGATGGCCAATAACTGATCTTAAATTGTATCTGAGCAAATATTTTGTTATAAGATCGCAGAAGTTTGGTGGCGCTAAGCCCTTCAAGCATTTACATGTCAATAAAAGAATTTTTAAAAACTATGCGCCCATCAATAGGTAACCAGTGGTGTTTTCAGAGTACTGGTGTCATGTGATCACATTTACGCGTATGCATATTAAGTAAGCACCACAAGTTTTGCAGCCTCAACGTAAAAAAGCAAACTGGGTTACAACAGAGCATGAAAAGAGATGGGTTCGAACAGTTGACGAGTTGATGAAAGCAGAAAGACACGGGTCTCAAAGGTTTGTTTTCTCTTACCTAAACTCAGTAATAGTTGCTTTGTATGTAGCTCCAACTTCAAGAGATTCTGTCCAGTGCTTAGTGAAGGAAATAAACGCAATAAGAGACAAAAGAAAATTAGGGAAGAAGAAATAAAGTTGGAAATCTCTAAGCTGTTGCAGACGTTAAATAATAGAGAATTTACGATATCACATTAGAACGATTTAGGTTTCATGTAACGGAATGTTAGTCAAAGTTTCGGTAAGAAAGTGTACTGTGAAATTAGAAGATCCTCGCAGCTAAGAACAAAAAAAAGTGTACTGTGTTGCACTGCCATCCTTGTTTAGCAGATTTCTTTTTTATTTAATTCCATGGTTTCCTGAACATGAAAAAAAAAATCAGCTTTTTTACCCAGAACTTTGATTCCTGTTCGCACATTTTACCGGCGCAACCTCCTGTAGCAAGTATATCGTTAAGTTGTTTTATACGACTCCAGGTAACACGGGAGGCAATCAGTCAGTTATTTTACAACCAACAGTAACATATCTGACTGAATGCCCGCAGCCTGTTCAAATGATGAATCAGTTTAACCCTGGAGCAAAGATTGTGATACCTTTTCCGTGTCGGCACCGGCAGTAATTTCTTTCATCTTGTCTAATACTTCCTGGAAAGCTTTCGCGTCATAAGCAAACACGTGAAACTCATCATCTTCAACTCGTGTAATGATTGAACCTTTAAACCAGAAACACGTTACATTGGTCATTAGCACTTGAGATAAAGATAA